AAAAAGGAAAATGGTGAGTTTACTCAACCCCAATATGCCCTAAAGTTTTTAGCAAGCCTAACCGGGATGGGAGTCAAAGAAAAAAAATAAATTTTTTTTATGGAGGGGCCAAAAAATTTGATTTTCACAAGCCTACCCGATGTTACCCCTGACGCCAAAGGGATTTCCCGAACGGCGAAAAATTGACTTTGCCCTTCCCAATCTGCCCCAGGGCCGCTCAGGGAAACCTCTGTGTTCATCAAGAACTGCAAAAAAAGCCCCTATCACGAGCCTTTTCCATCCTAGGGAAAGAGGGGCAGGGAAACCCCGGGGGGTCGTCCCCCAGTTTCTAAAAAACAACAGACATAGGGCCCCCCTCCACCCAAAAGGGGGCCCGGTTTTAAACAAAAAGCAAAAAAATAAGACCAATAGCACTAACATCCCATATCTTTTAAAATCTTTGAAAGGGGCCTAAGAAGCAAGTCCCCATCCAACTAAAAAACCCATCAGTTACACAACCCGGGGCAACATGGGTTTTTGAAAGGGGCGTCCTGGGCTGTCTCAACTATTGGATCCTAAAGAAAAGGTCCTAAATTTCACTAGAAGACAAAAGAATGCAGGGGTAAAATATACAGGGGGTTTGCAAAAGCCTTCGACAAGTGTGGGCCATTACGTAAAAAGGCACAAAATGCGTGCTAAAAAAATAACAGGAAAAGGCGGTCGATGGATTTTATAATTTCCCCCACTAAAAGAAACTGAGAGTAGCGTCAACAGAGTAAAGTCCGAGAGCTACGGTGAAAAACTTGTTTCCCCCAAAGGAAAAGTACTCGCTCCCCTTTGTTCCCCTTCCCCCATATCCGACATAGACAAGGGGTTTCCGCCACAGCACCGTGTCTTCCTTTGCAGATGCACCCGAATCTGCATGACAGTGTCTTCCATTGCAGACACTGAAAAAGCTCCAGGCGGACATCAACCAAATCTTTCAGTGGGCTGGGAGGGAAAAAAATATGAAGTTAACGAGGGGAAAAAATTTAATTACTTTAGATATGGTAAAACATGAGGAAAAATTTAAAACTTCATCGGAGTACAAAACAAATTCTGGCCACAAAATAGAGCGAAAAAACCCAAAAGTCAAAGACCCGGGGGGTGAAACATGTCGGAGGATCTCACCTTCAAGGACCATAACTTTTTATCAATCGCATTTTGCTAGAAAAAAAAGACAGGATGGATAATGAGAAACCCTTTAAAACTTGGGAAAGGGCCAAACCCCTGATGACCTCTTCAGGGGCACTTTGGGTTTATCTAGGGGGGAATATTGCTGCACACTAAAAAGGGGCCCTTTTAAAGGGAGGTGAAATTGCCGACTGAAAAAAGTACAGAGAAACTTTCAAAGGCGCCCCTTTAAAGGGGGGGTAAAACACCTCAATTTTGGGGGGTTGAGGTTTCCCAAACCCGTTATTTTCCTTTGGGAAGCCCGGAGGGGGAGGAAAACATGATTTATACACCTGGGAAAAACCTAGAGGGACTAGTAACGAATTTCACACGAAAATCATCACTACGAAAGGGAAAAAGACCCTTTGGGAGAGATTTTCACCATCCCCCCCAAAGAAAAACAGGGGTTTTCACTAGCAGTTAAAGGACCATACAATTTAAATTTTCAGGGGCCCCCAGAATGTTTTAACCCGCCCCCCGCACACATAAGGGGGGTTACCAAAAAGGGCCCCTGGCAGTCTTCAAATGGCACTGGACAAGCCCTAAAGCCCCCGTTCCGGATCAGCCGGGCTGTGGCTCGTACGTTGGTTTGCGGGGCAGCCGCCCGAACAGCCTGGGTTTGGTTTAAGCTCTGATCCACCAGGGGGGCTGGTCACGAAAGGGCCCCGGGGGCGTTGACCCCCGGAACTCCCCTCCAGGTAAACTCCAGGGGAAAATCCTCTTAACTTCACATCATCTGCAAAAAGAGGCACTTCTGAGTCTATCTCTTCCCTCATGTTCCCTTTCCCCATGTACTAAAATTAGCCCGGTTTCCTTTGGGCTGATCCCCGCCCCGTTCTTTTTCCCCCCTGAAACCCCGTTCTGGAAATTCTTCAATCCCCTGTAGTCCCCATTTTTAGAGTTTGGCTTCATTCGTCCCCTTTTTGTTCCCCCCCCACTTTTAACTCGGGTATTCGAATTTTAAAACCAAAATGATTTGCTGGCCCCAAGCGGCCCCCGTGATCATGTGGTTTTAAAATTCGACATTGTCCTCAATAAATTTTCATACCAAGGTGAATACTAGGTCCCGTTCGTGGTTTATCCTTCCTTTTTTCTGGTAGTTTTCCCTTTTTGGGGGTTTGGTACATAAGTTTTTTCCCGTCCAAACCCCCATTTATCTTGCCCCTTCCCCGTTTTTGCCCCCAAAATGGCTCCCAAATTTTCCCCAAACGAAATTTCCCCTTTTGGTTGAAATCACCCATGTCATAGCTTTTGGGCCCGATCGTTGAACCCTTTGGTCACTTCAGGCCCAGTGTGTTTAACCCTCCTTTTATTACTCTATCATATCTTGGGCCCTTTGGGTTTCCCGCTGTTCTGTGGTGGGTTATACAAAAAACCTTTCCTTTTAAACCCCAGGGACCTCCAGACTGAAGGTTTCCTTTTCAAAGTAATAACCCTTTCTTTCCACTGTCTCCTCTCTCCCGTCATAGAATCCTATCGGTTTTTGCCGCCGTGTGTGTACTCAATAGTTGTAATCACCTAGTTGGGTTTTTTAGGTGTTTTTGTGTGGTGTTTTGGGGTACTAAACTGGTTTTTAATACCTGTTGAGGTTGCAGGGAAATTTAGTCCAAGCTCATGGCCCCCCCTCTTTACTGGTCGCACTAGGGGGCTCTCCCCGAACCGTGGCTTTATCATCCCCCGCTTAAAGTATGGGATGGATCCTGCCTCCACTACATCGTTCCCCAAAATATTCCAATTAAAAATACTCTGTGGGCTGAAGAAAAACTTCCTACCATCCCTGGTTCATCTGTGTTTTTCAGCTTCCCAAATGTGTCCCCCCTTTTTTCTGGGGTTTTCCAAACTCTGGAACATCCTGTTTTTTGTCCACCTTGTCAAATTTCCCCTTTGTAAATTTTTTATGTCGTTAAAACTGTCCCCCTTTCTCTCCTTTTCCTCCCGTGTCGTCAGGTTGATTTCATTAACCTCTCCTCGTAGGAAAATACCTCTTAGTCTGGGATTGTCTTGTTGCAAAAACCCTTTTCCTTTCTCTAGTTTCTTTACGTGCTTGGCTGGTGGGGTTCCAAAAATGGTGCCGCATATCCAATATGGGCCTAAAAGTTTTAAAGGTGGTTTCAGGGGTCCCGAACGGGTTTCCCTTTTAAGATGTGGAAAGCTGTTTGAGGTTTGCTAGGGCCCCTATGCTGCAGCAGTTATTTGGTTGATGTGCGCCCTTAGGAGATGTGCTGGTGTTTTTTTACCCCCAAGATTTTTTCCTTTTAGTTTAAAGGGTTTTTTAAATTTTCTGACCCCCTTTGAATGACTCCGTCTGCGGCCCCTTTTTTGCCCTTCCCCCAAACTTTAGGGGCTTTGCACTTGGGGGATTGAACTCCAGGAGCCAATTTCTGGACCAAAGGGCTGCAGCCTGTCCAGATCCCTTTGTATTCTGGTGGTCTTCGATTTGAGTGTATTCTTCCCATCAATTCCGTCATCTGCAAAAAAGGGAACCTCAGAGTCTATTCCTTCCGTATGTGTTTTCCCAAAATTCCCGAAACAGCATGGTCCTAGGACTGACCCTGTTTGGGAACCCCCCTCATCCCCGGTGCCCCCTTGAAAACCTCGCCCCGTTCCATGACTCGCTTTCTGTCTTTCCCGACAAGGATTCCCTGATCCATTGTAAATGCCTTCCCGTTTTCCCTGCTTGGTCCTCCGTTTTTGCCCCTAATCTCTTGTGTGGGGAACTGTGTCCCAAAAGCCTTTTTTGCAAATCCCAAAAAAATGCAAAACCCCCCCAACCCCCCTTCTCTTGTCTTAATGCTGTCAAACCCTGTCTTTGAACTCAGTAGGTTTGTTTACACAGGTTTTCCCGTCCCTGGGAAAAAAAAGCTGGCTGTGGGTTGATGAGATCATTCCTTTCTAGGGGGTTCCACCACTCTTCTCCTTTAATTTTTTCTTTCCAAAGATTTTTTAAAACTTTAATTTTCAGGACATGGTCGGGAAAATTTAATGCTTCATGTGTGGGGTTTTGTGTGTGGGTTGTGTTGGGGGGGTGTGGTGTGGTGTGTGGTGTGGTGTTTGGGGGGTTTCGTTGTGTGGTGTGTTGTGTGGTTTGTTGTGTGGTGTGTTGTTGTGGTGTGTTGGGGTGGGGTGTTGGTGGTGTGTTGTGTGGTGTGTTGTGTGGTGGTGTGGTGCGGTGTGTTGTGTGGTGTGTGGTGCGTTGTGTGGTGCGTTGTGTGGTGTGTTGTGTGGTGTGTTGTGTGGTGTGTTGGTTGTGTGGTGTGTTGTGTGTGGTGTGTTGTGTGGTGTGTTGTGTGTTGTTTGGTGTGTTGCGTGGTGTGTTGCGTTGTGTGTTGTGTGTGTTGTGTGTGTTGTTTTGTGTGTGTGTTGTGTGTGTGTTGTGTGTGTTTGTGTGTGTGTTGTGTGTGTATTCTGTGTGTATTGTGTGTGTATTCTGTGTGTATTCTGTGTGTATTCTGTGTGTGTGTTGTGTGAATGTTCCTTGCATAAGCATGTACAATAATTAAACATGTGTTAACATGAGTGGTATGTAATTTCTTTCCTAATTTATTCCTCAAACTTCACGTAAAGAAAACATGCCGACTTTCACGTTGGTCAGATTCATAGCGAGATGTACAACTGTTTTTAATTACTTATTATTGGTTAATTATACACTTTCATATGTTATGTAATGTATTAAAACTGAATCTACCATAACCCAATCTGAAAAAATCCTTTTCCATACACAGATAACGTTTAAAAGTTGACACTGTGTAATACGTAGATAAACGAACGGTATTAAATGAGTATAAATACAAACCCAAATTGTAACTTACTGTTTATAGACTCGAGCGTGGCAGCACCGGTGCTTGGCAGTACCAAGGTGAAGATTATCAGCAGTAGCACAACCATAATGATCCAGACTCACTCCACTTGTTGGTGTTTGAGAGGCCAGTCCATCTGTCACCAAAACTATACTTTTTCTTTTCAGCGACTGTGCCGGCGAAATGAGGAAAATGACCACTTGGTTCCGAGATCCGAGGTTAGGTTAGGTAAGGTTCGTCAGGAAACAAGACAAGTGTTTCCTGACGCGTGTCTTAGTCAGATGATGACCCGCCGTTGGAGCTTTCGGTCATCTGACAGAGGCCTTCCGCTGGCTTACCGGTCCACCCTTTTAAAAATTAGGGTCAGTTATAACCATTTTGTGTGAGGCCCGCGAAGTATTGTATGCAGCGAGCTTGACCCTCTGTCAATACACTTTCCACTGCCAATTAATGCAGTAGTTATTCATGTTTTTTTTTTATTCTTTATATCGAATACTGTTATTATTTATCACTGTTGACAAGTGACTTAAATTGTTTCTGGACTACATCGTTGCTTCGTAGCTCAGTGAGGTGACTTGTAGCTCAGTGAGGCGACTCGTAGCTCAGTGAGGTGACTCGTAGCTCAGTGAGGTGACTCGTCGCTCAGTGAGGTGACTCGTAGCTCAGTGACGTGACTCGTAGCTCAGTGAGGTGACTCGTAGCTCAGTGAGGTGACTCGTAGCTCAGTGAGGTGACTCGCAGCTCAGTGAGGTGACTCGCAGCTCAGTGAGGTGACTCGTAGCTCAGTGAGGTGACTCGTAGCTCAGTGAGGTGACTCGTAGCTCAGTGAGGTGACTCGTAGCTCAGTGAGGTGACTCGCAGCTCAGTGAGGTGACTCGCAGCTCAGTGAGGTGACTCGTAGCTCAGTGAGGTGACTCGTAGCTCAGTGAGGTGACTCGTAGCTCAGTGAGGTGACTCGTAGCTCAGTGCTAGATTGCACAGATCTCAATCGAGCCATAAAGGATTCGAATCCTTGGCCAGACAAGACGTAAGGATGTGTTCCTACACCTGCTGGCCATATTCACATAGCGGTAAATAGGTATCTAGATGTTAGTTGACCTTTTAAGTCTCATTCTGGGAAAAACGATCATAAGACCTCAATGAAAATAAGCCATACTGCTTGGCTTTCTTGGACTATCGTCATTTACAGTCCGTCGGGCTCAGTTAATCGTAGAAAGTATTCTTATATAGTTGTTTATCTATTAAACCATTCTTCACTTTTCAAAAAGCAAAATTTTCGAAATTAGTATGCGTGCGTTGCCTTCCCATCCAGTGTTTACCTTCTTCGTGCAGGTTCGTGGGACACGCGATGACTCGCCACTCTAAAATCACAACACCACGGCTAATGCCGGGTAGAAAATAGAGCTTCATCAAAGCCCCTTTCAAATTCTTTCCCATTCGCTGGCCGGTTATGCCTTCCATCTCAAACTGCCGAGTGGAGGATCATACCAGCGACTACTGGGCATATTAATTCTCTATGTCCTTCCATGCCTCGATTTCTGCTCCAAAAATTAACATACTTTCTTTCTGGATAAATGTTATTCTTAAATCCCCCATTTTATATTCACTGATTTATAACTGCTCTCCTTATAATAGCTTAATTACTTTTCGTTCTAGTAACAATGGCTGTGTAACTGCATTGAACTACCCGCACCGGGTTAATTACCGCTTCATGTATACAATGTTAGTAATACTATCATGGGTAGTTGAAATAGTTGCTTTTCGTTTCATCTCGACTTTAAGCTTACATGATCATAGCACATTCACTACTACCGATGGCCAGAAATCTACAGATAAACAATATGTTTTCTATGCCTTGAATAAATACATTCCTGATTTGTTGACACATTCTACTGGTTCTAAGTTTGCTTATTGTATGCATTAGATTATACTTCAAATGTTCTTGACATGTTCCATGTATTTTCCGACAAATAATGAGTCACTGGAAAAAAACTTGTATTTTCATATTAAGATGACACTCTGAATATCTTACAGTTAATTAATTACATAAAAAAATCGTGTCTGTAAGCAATAATCTGCTGACAGTGTTTTATCTCTTAATAAATGTTAGATATTCACTACAAATTTAATCCTCGATATTATGTAAGCAGTGACGGAAAATTCCACCCATAAAAAAATTGTATTCGTAAATCAGAGATGCAATCAATTGGAGGCAGCAGGGATATAAGCCACGTTAAGTAAGGAGGCGAGAGCGACGCGCAGCACAACCTTACTCGACCAAGGTTCACGACCAACTGTTGGGTTGCGCAGTTCCACTACCTCTTACAGCTTTACTTAAGCAGATTTCCGGCTGTTACCGTATCATTCCCTCTCATACTATTGTCGTCCCAGACGATACTGTCTGGGACGACTTTCGCTGCCACCAGAATCTTTCTCATCTTCACAGGGTATTTCCCTCCCGCTGACTTCGAAGAACGGGGTAAAGCCATTAAACATCCTTTACCTTCCTGAAAGATGTCTGGGTATATGGCATCGAACCTGAGCCAGGATATGGAGCATCATTACCTTAATTTTAGTTATTTCCTAAATGCAAGACGAGCGCGTACGTTCAGTATATACGTATATGCCAGCGTCTCTAGGAGTTCCTTCAGATTTTATATTCATCTGCCAATAACTGCAATGTCAATAGACGAAATATCATTTTAGCTTTCTGGCTTGGTGCACCCATACATCTTTCTTACCGGGAGACCCTGAGTCACCAACCATCAATAACACTACTCTCAACACCATAACTTCCTACTGACGGCTTTATGATCGCACTTGTAAAACATACATACACTGAGAGCTCTCACACGGTCACACACACACACACACACACACACACACACACACACACACGCACACACGTGTAGTCCCCATTTTTAAAAAAAGGAGACAGAAAAGAGGCACTAAACTACAGACCAGTGTCTCTGACATGTATAGTATGAAAAGTCATGGAGAAGATTATCAGGAGGAGAGTAGTGGATCACCTGGAACGGAACAATATTATAAACGACAACCAGCACGGATTCATGGAAGGAAAATCCTGTGTCACAAACCTTCTGGAGTTTTATGACAAGGTAACAGAAGTAAGACACGAGAGAGAGAGGGGTGGGTTGACTGCATTTTCCTGGACTGCAGGAAGGCCTTCGACACAGTTCCTCACAGGAGATTAGTGCAGAAGCTGCAGGACCAAGCGCATATAACAGGAAGGGCACTGCAATGGATCAGAGAATACCTGACTGGGAGGCAACAACGAGTCATGGTACGTGATGATGTATCACAGTGGACGCCTGTGACGAGCGGGGTCCACGGAGGTCATTCCTAGGACCAGTGCTATTTTTGATATATGTGAATGACATGATGGAAGGGATAGACTCTGAAGTGTCCCTGTTCTCAGATGATGTGAAGTTAATGAGAAGAATTAAATCAGATGAGGATCAGGCAGGACTACAAAGAGACCTGGACAGGCTGGACACGTGGTTCAGCAACTAGCTTCTCGAATTCAACTATGCCAAATGCAGAGTCATGAAAATTGGGGAAGGGCAAAGAAGACCGCAGGTGGACTAAGACTGCAAACCTCATTCAAGGACAAAGCTCTTGGGATGACCATAACACCGAACACGTCTCCTGAGACACACATCAACCAGATAACTGCTGCAGCATATGGGCGCCTGGCAAACCTGAGAATACCGTTCCGATACCTTAGTAAGGAATCGTTCAAGACACTGTACACTGTGTACGTCAGGCCAAAACTGGAGTATGCAGCACCAGTTTGGAACCCACACCTGGTCAAGCACGTCAAGAAATTAAAGTACAAAGGTTTGCAACAAGGATAGTTCTGGAGCTCATTGGAATGTCATACGAAGAAAGGTTGAGGGAAATCGGACTGACGACACTGGAGAAGAGGAGGGTCAGGAGAGACATGATAACGACATACAAAATACTGCGTGGAATACATAAGGTGGACAGCTAGGATGTTCCAGAGAGGGGACACAGAAACAAGGGGTCACAACTGGAAGCTGAAGACTCAGACGAGTCACAGGGATGTTAGGAAATATTTCTTCAGTCACAGAGTCGTAGAACAGAATAATAAACTGTGTAAGATTGAGGTAACTAGTGACATGGTCCTCAGATAAATAGAGAAACTAAAATCTAACAAATCCCCAGGCCCTAATGAACTGTTTGCAAGGGTGTTAAAGGAATGTTAAGAGGAACTTAGCATACCTTTGGCTATATTTTTCAACATATCACTACAAACTGGCATAGTACCTGAAAAGTGGAAAATGGCAAATGTAATACCTATTTACAAGGCAGGTGACAGGTCCTTGGCTTCGAACTATAGACCAATAAGCCTTACCTCCATAGTGGGAAAATTTATGGAATTAATAATTGCCGAAGCAATTCGCAGCCATCTTGATAGAAACAGATTGATTAATGAATCTCAACACGGTTTTACAAAGGGGCGTTCCTGTCTTACGAATTTACTAACTTTTTTCACTAAGGTGTTTGAGGAGGTAGATCATAGGTAATGAATATGATATTGTGCATATGGACTTCAGTAAGGCTTTCGATAGAGTTCCACATCAGAGGTTATTGAGGAAACTTAAGGCACACGGAATAGGAGGAGAAATTTTTTCCTGGGCAGAGGCATGGCTGACAAATAGGCAGCAGAGAGTTTGCATAAATGGGGAGAAATCAGAATGGGGGCACGTCACAAGCGGTGTTCCTCAGGGGTCAGTGTTGGGCCCGTTGTTGTTCACAATTTACATAAACGACATAGATGAGGGAATAAATAGCGACATAAGCAAATTTGCTGATGAAAACAAAATAGGCCTTCCAATTCATTCTAATGAGGACACTAGAGCACTCCAGGATGATTTGAATAGACTGATGCAATGGTCGGAGAAGTGGCAGATGCAGTTTAATATTGACAAATGCAAAGTTCTAAATGTTGTACAGTTAAATAACCATGCCACATATAAACTAAATAATGTAGATCTTAATACTACTGATTGCGAAAAGGATTTAGAAGTTCTGGTTAGCAGTAACCTAAAACCAAGACAACAGTTAAGTGCAATAACGAAACTTTTAACAAACATTTTTGTAGTGAGAATGATGTGAATGATGCCATAACTACCGTTCACCTTCATCACTAAGTAGTCGTATTAATGTGGAAATTAAATGAAAAGTGTACCAGGCAAGCTAAAAAAAAAACTTAAAAATTAAAAAAAAATAGAGAAGGAATTTATAAAAAAATATGTAAGAGCAGCGTCACGATACAAGAGGAACACTGCCAGGCTGGTCTAAGAGTTTTGACACTGTCTAGTTATTATGAAAGGTCAAGAGTAACTGCTAAAATTTTCAAGTTTATCATCTACTTGTGTAGTGGAGTCTGTGCCTCTCTGCTTACTCTCTGAGTGAGCAAGAAAGTTTAAAGTGCCATGAGAAAATGAAGTAGAGGAACATTACCAGTGAGATGGAGATTGTCAACAGACTTGTAGAAATGGGCGATGAGTTGACTGTCGTGAGTGATGGGAAAGATGACTCAAACAATGAGAAACTTGTAACAGTAAGGAGATGGAACTTCTAAAAGTTAAGGGAAAAGTTAAGGCAAAGCCCCTTTTTCTTCATTCTCTACCTACACTAATTTAAAAATTAAACTGATGGTGCAGCAATTTTATCCTACTATCACTCACAATTGTATTCCTTTATTTCGTCCTCTCTCTCTCTGTCTCTCTCTCTGTCTCTCTCTCTGTCTCTCTCTCTGTCTCTCTGTCTCTCTGTCTCTCTCTCTCTGTCTCTCTCTCTGTCTCTCCCTCTGTCTCTCTGTCTCTCTCTCTGTCTCTCTGTCTGTCTCTCTGTCTCTCTGTCTCTCTCTCTGTCTCTCTCTCTGTCTCTCTCTCTGTCTCTCTGTCTGTCTCTCTCTCTGTCTCTCTCTCTGTCTCTCCCTCTGTCTCTCTCTCTCTGTCTCTCTCTCTGTCTCTCTCTCTGTCTCTCTCTCTGTCTCTCTCTCTGTCTCTACCCGCCAGTTCTAATGGTATCATTTTCTTTCTCTATCCTTCATGCCAGCTACACAAATTCCCTATCTCTCACTTAAATTCCTACCAGTCACCAAAGCAGAAGTCCCCGAAAAAAAAAATAATAAAAGTATCAGATTTTGATATACAAGTGCAGATGGTATCATAAACAAAAGCGATATACTAAAGGACAGAGTAGCATCTAGAAATCATAGCTATCACAAAGACAAATCTTTCTGAAATATTAACAAATATGTTAATCCCAGAATGCTATCTAATAGTGAGAAGAGAACGAGATCAGATGAGGTGGGGGTGGCACTAAGAAGATGAAAAATATAGACACTGGTAACTTTAATAACTACAGCGTATAATAGAAGAAATAACAAATGGAAAATACAGGGTAATAGTAACAGTAGTTTATAACCCCTTTCCCCTATTAAACAACCAAGGCAATCAGGGACTAGTAGACCCAGAATTCAGATTCTAGAACAAATGGTACAGAGGGCAAGTGAGGCTATAACAAAACTATTGATTGTAGATGATATCATTCATAAGATAATAGACTAGCAGAACGAGATCCACAAAGTGAGCCAGAGAAACAAAGAGCGGAAATGATGGAAGAAATAATGGAAAATTTAATAATCCATCATGTCAAAGAATCGTTAACAGTCAGATCAGGCAAAGATCAGCTTGACTTGACTTGGTTTTTCATACTTAGTGAATCTTGACTTAACAAAATTGAATATGGCGTACCCTTAGGAGATTATGATCCCGTGGTGCTCTGAATACTTGGTAGAAGTGGATGTGAAGAGAAGAGAAAGATGTACAAATCATTAGCCAGATTTCAGAAGAGGTAACAATGCTGAGATGAAATATTTCCAAATGAAATTCAGTGGGACAGGGAATTAAATGAACAGGCAACCCACATTATGAAGGATCTCCTTGCCAGAAAGTGTCTAGAAACAACAGCAAAATTCACACAAGGTACAATCATACTGCAGAGAGGCAGTATGTATATATATATATATAATATATATATATATATATATATATATATATATATATATATATATATATATATATATATATATATATATATATGCAAACAATCACAGACGGGCGTTCTTAACTATGCAAGAGAAACTAATATTCTGTGTACCCTTTTTAAGTAATAAAAGAAAGGAATGAAATGTGCTCTTTGTCCGTTTAAATGTCCTG